GACAGATCTCCACAGGTGGTTGCTGATGTCCTGTGGGTGTGAATAAAGGCCAGCATATGATCTCTAATTCCCTCCAGCAGATTTTTAATACCCAGCAAATTGTTACAACCTTGTACATGTAAAATTAATTATTCTGATATTAGAAAAATATAGTGGTTGACACAAAATGTCAAATCTCTGAAGAAAATAAGCAATTATTTATAAAGGAGATTGACATGTTGAAGCATGACATTGTGCAGCTGGTACAACTCTGATTTTTATCTTGTAAAAATATGACATTTTCACAAGAAATGCTTCAATATTGGATCTTTCTAAGCGCAAACACTGGCAATATTAAAGTATAAAGTCTGGTCATTAGCTTGTTCTAACCAAGAACTGACCACTTAAACAAAATGAGATGATATATAAAGCTATTTGTGTACACACTGTACATCATGCTTGGGTTATATATACAATAGACCTAAAAGATACTTAATCTAAACCCCCAACCGTAAACTTTAGTGTGTAATTTGTTCTGCGTTTATGGACATTTATCATGCGTCATTAATGCTATTACCTTTCTGCAATCCCATATGATGCAATAGGCAACAAAAAATAGACTTGAATATTATAGAGAACCTAAAAACAATCCAGAACACTCCAGCATTATAGCAACTGCAACAACACTCAAATTCTTTTAATATGAGTATTCTTTTAAGAAAACACAATGATCCAGTTTACATGCTATACCACTGCAGCCAACAGCGAGCTTCTTTCTATTGCAGAAATAAAGGTAAAATGCAGGCTGATAATCTTCTGCAATCATCCTTTCATAAAAATCCCAAGTCGGAGATGAAAGTTAATATCATATGGATTTTCTGCTCCTTATTGTTAAAGTTTTTTATGTCTCACCGATCCTTCATTAGTCTTTCTCTAGCATGGTAATGTTGCAGAGTTTCTGTAGATGGTGTTTGAAGTTTAGTAGTTCTAACGTTTCACTTTTCTTGTGAATTCTGCTTAATTCTACATGGATGTAATTCAAGTTGACGTTGTCTGATAAGAAGCCACTAGTTGGATAGGCAGAGGGACACCCAAAAGCATTTTAGTTGGATGCAAACTGCTGTGCTGGTACATAAACAGCCTCACACAGCACGATGAACAGCAGAGCGAAAAGTAAATAACTCAAGTTGACAGTGTATCAACAAACCACTGAATCTTCCTAAATATTAAAGCTAGGAAAATTAATTAGAGAAGTATAAAATTAATGAAAATTTAAAGTAGAAATCTCTATATATCTATCTATCTATCTATCTAGAAGCACACACAACTTTCTTAAACTCACTATACTTAGCAAACACAAAGTTCTCATCTCCTGAAAGCACTCCCAAGAATAACAAATAAACCCCACCTAATTGTAGCCTGTCAGCCTGAAATTGTTCACTGCAACCCCATATTTCCTCACTCAGCTGTGAGCAGACAACACCGCAAACTCGCCCAACTGCCTCTGTTACTCTGTAACCTGAACTTCATGAGACAGCGCAGAGACAACTGTTGCCTGCGATGTGTGCTTGAATCAGTGAACACATAGTGAGGGGGCGACAGATGCTGGATGGTGATGTGACAAGTCTTGTTCTTTTCCTATTGTCAAAGGTCTTGGGTCCAATCAAACTATTCTCTTGCAAATACATTTGACAAAACAGCCTGTATGTCCTTTCTTCATCCCCAAACAATGTAATATTAATACATTTCAATGTCTGACCAAGGGCCCAACTTTGACCAACTTTATGTGTGGGACGTTTCTTGACAGGGTGATCTCATTCATATTTGTAGAGTATACCCCTATTTTTTTGTAGTTTGTATAGACACTGAATTGTACAATATCAACATAATGACAGAATCTAAAATGTAAAAACTCTTGCAAATGTAAAACTTTAGAGACTTTTTAGAGTGGCCAGACATTTGTCCAGAAGGAAACTTGTCATAGAAAACCATCATGATTATAAATTATGTCAGGATGGGTCTAATAAGAGTAAAATCATTTGCACTTAATTAGAGCTGAATTTAGTATCTTTAGAAATCACACAACAGAATGAAACTATGATATGTATTAACTGCATTAAATGTGACGGCTAAAAGGAATCAACCATAAAAATCAAACAATTACTTTAGTATTCAATAAATCTAAATTTAGTATCTTTAGAAATCACACAACAGAATGAAACTATGATATGTATTAACTGCATTAAATGTGACGGCTAAAAAGGAATCAACCATAAAAATCAAACAATTACTTTAGTATTCAATAAATCTCAAATATTTGGAAACATCTGAATAATAAAGTTGTTTCGAATCTCAATAGCAGATCAAACGGTTATCTAGAAATAAATAAAAACATTTTGAAATAAATCTGTCTGAAAAGAAATGTTCCAGGATCAAAACAATTAAGCTCAATTGACAGCATTTATGGTATAATGTCAAATACACAAATACTCGTAAAAACCTGTCTTACTTGAACTATACATTTGTTTAAATGGTTATTTTTGTGCTGTGACTACAGTTCAAGGTGAATGCACTTCTAGTTATTAGCCTCCAATATAATTCTTGTGGGAGTTGTCAGTACATCAACAGAGGAATGTTGTCACACACCTTGTGTCAGGTAGCAGATGGCTTTCGTTTAGACCTTCTGGCTAATTTTTATTATCAAAAATTATGAACATATACAGACAACTGGAAGGAGAAAGATCCTTGATCTCTTTTCAGTTAATAGTGTTAGGTTTACCAGCTGATATACATTTAATTGTACGAATCACATGACACAAATTTTTAAGTGTATCTTTAATGCAAAAGCATTTTTACCAAACATCCAAAATGAATTACTTTTAACTCACTCTTTCTTGTGCAGTTTACATATGCAGTGATGGATGACAGGCTTTTTTTTTTCCACCAGCGTTTCGAGAAACCACTGACACCAAAGACATTACTGATCCACTGCAGCAGTGGAGGAAATATTAACTGTTGAATGCATCCTCTCTCACACATACAGTATATATGTATACACAGTATGTATATATATATATATATAGCTGTTTCTGTAGCCAGGATGAGAGCTGAGCTCCTGTAATCATGTGAGAGCAGTGAGTTGTTTTGCTTGCACAGAAATGAATTTATGATATGTTTGCGTAATGGTTATCCATGCATACATCTGAACTAATTACATGCATTTCATGGTGTGTCTTAGCTTGGCTGCTTTCGCTCTAATATGGCTGCTGAACAGACAAGAAGAGTTTTAAAGAATTGCATCCTACCTACTAAAATGTTTTTGATTTCAATACGAGTTAAAAGAACAGTACACCCAAAAAAGAAATATTCATAATTTACTCACACACACAAAAAATATTTTTAAAACATAGTGTATTTGTCCATACAACGAAAGTCACTGGGGTCCAAAACTCATTCATTCATTCATTCATGTATGTATGTATGTATTTTGGTCAATTTTCTTTGCACTTCTAGTTATTAGCCTCCAATATAATTCTTGTGGGAGTTGTCAGTACATCAACAGAGGAATGTTGTCACACACCTTGTGTCAGGTAGCAGATGGCTTTCGTTTAGACCTTCTGGCTAATTTTTATTATCAAAAATTATGAACATATACAGACAACTGGAAGGAGAAAGATCCTTGATCTCTTTTCAGTTAATAGTGTTAGGTTTACCAGCTGATATACATTTAATTGTACGAATCACATGACACAAATTTTTAAGTGTATCTTTAATGCAAAAGCATTTTTACCAAACATCCAAAATGAATTACTTTTAACTCACTCTTTCTTGTGCAGTTTACATATGCAGTGATGGATGACAGGCTTTTTTTTTTCCACCAGCGTTTCGAGAAACCACTGACACCAAAGACATTACTGATCCACTGCAGCAGTGGAGGAAATATTAACTGTTGAATGCATCCTCTCTCACACATACAGTATATATGTATACACAGTATGTATATATATATATATATAGCTGTTTCTGTAGCCAGGATGAGAGCTGAGCTCCTGTAATCATGTGAGAGCAGTGAGTTGTTTTGCTTGCACAGAAATGAATTTATGATATGTTTGCGTAATGGTTATCCATGCATACATCTGAACTAATTACATGCATTTCATGGTGTGTCTTAGCTTGGCTGCTTTCGCTCTAATATGGCTGCTGAACAGACAAGAAGAGTTTTAAAGAATTGCATCCTACCTACTAAAATGTTTTTGATTTCAATACGAGTTAAAAGAACAGTACACCCAAAAAAGAAATATTCATCATTTACTCACACACACAAAAAATATTTTTAAAACATAGTGTATTTGTCCATACAACGAAAGTCACTGGGGTCCAAAACTCATTCATTCATTCATTCATTCATTCATTCATGTATGTATGTATGTATTTTGGTCAATTTTCTTTATATTGATAATAATAATAATAATAATAATAAGAAATATTACATTACTAAAAATAATAATGTTTAACATTAAGCCTTTCCAAAGTTCAAGGGCATTATTTCCAAAAAAGATACAGCAACAAGAAAAATACCAGTAATCATAAACTATATATAAAATCAACAATATTAAAAGATTAAAACAGGCAATAAAACACAAAATAGTGCTAAAAAGGATAAATATGTCAAAACAAAGAATATGATATAACAATAGTTAAGAGATGACAGAACACAATGGGATACAAACTAGTGTCACCCATATGAAGACCACTCAATGTTTTATAACGTGCAATACACACAAATTTTTTTTATCTTATTCAACACACTACGACTCAAATAAAACAAATTCCTATCAGTTGACAAATCACTTGACCTGATAATTTGCAGGTACCCCCAGCCTGTAAATGTCCAAACCATGTAGGGTTAAAACAAAGAAGAAGAAGAAAAAAAGAAAGAAACCTATGCTTATAAATGTACAGAAAAGGAACACAGTTAAAAACGATACCCACAATAAGACATCTATTAAAAGTTTTGGCACCTGAACGACTCCCTGAGCTTCCCAGCACCCTGAAAGAAAAGTAAAAAGATGATTAAACAAAAATAAAAAATCCTTTTATAATTCTGTCATTACCGATGACAGCCTCTCTAAAAAAGAAAGAAACCTATGCTTATAAATGTACAGAAAAGGAACACGGTTAAAAACGATACCCACAATAAGACATCTATTAAAAGTTTTGGCACCTGAACGACTCCCTGAGCTTCCCAGCCCCCTGAAAGAAAAGTAAAAAGATAATTAAACAAAAATAAAAAATCCTTTTATAATTCTGTCATTACCGATGACAGCCTCTCCGCTGATGCCCTGCAAACCCTGCTGCGTGACTGAGAACAGAAAAATCGTCTTTCAATTTGAACAGCATAATTTTTCATCCTATGTGTCTACTGGAAAGTAAACACTGTTAACCCCGGGGGCCGGGGCCAGGGCCCCCGCCAGCAGCCGTCAGACAATTCGCAAAATTCAATTATGCATCATACCTGCTCCTGTAATGGAGATGACATAAAAGAAAGGCCCTTGACACTGTAGAGACTGTGTAGTAACCCTGTATGCATTATCCACCCCAAGGACTTAATTGCATAGCAGCACATCCTCAGTTACGAGGATGAAAAACGCCTGAAATCATGAGTGATACTGTAGAGTACTAGAAAAACACAAGTATTATTAATTCTCCGTGACGCATTTGTAGTATGTAGCCTGAGGTGTTTAACTGTAGAGACTGTGTAGTAACCCTGTATGCATTATCCACCCCAAGGACTTAATTGCATAGCAGCACATCCTCAGTTACGAGGATGAAAAAGGCCTGAAATCATGAGTGATACTGTAGAGTACTAGAAAAACACAAGTATTATTAATTCTCCGTGACGCATTTGTAGAATGTAGCCTGAGGTGTTTTTGAAGACTGGAACCACATAGTAAAACGCACAGATAATGTCCTGCCTGTGCATGGATCACATGGTTTGCAGAGGCTGTATTACATTCATTTTGAAAGGAAATGGCACCTCTATCTCCATCAATCAGTGGCTAATTACAGGCTGCATATAATGGGCCACCCTTGCTGGAAAGAGTAGGAAACAGATCTTTTGGATGGTTTTGGCTCTCAGGGTGGTGCTTCTTCCCATAGAGCCAAACAAAAGCTGAAGAGTGGCAGCAGCTGTGGAATATCTGCCCGACCATTAGCAGGTTTGTCAATGCGTTCACCATCTCAATACAGCAGTGGTGCAGAAATCAATACATGATCCAAGCTGCTTTTCTTTCAGCTGTGACTTGAGATGCCACTTCAATTCTCATTCAGCTCACATATGGATGAAGCACCATTATGAGACTTTACATTTTTAATATCAAATGTGTGATGGAAAATGAAAATGAAGGAAATGGGTTTCGCACTGCACCAGTACAACTGCAACAGAAAATGACATTATTTACATGAGTTCCCATATTGAGAATTGCACTTCATGCAGCCATAAATTATGTAAGGGACTGCATAGATGGTCTCTTGCTTATTTCATTGCAGTCCCCAAAATAAATCACTATGTTGATGTGAAATATTGATTTGAGTTTAAGTTTTTGTATATTTGTAAATGTATATTTTCTTAAAGTTTCCGCTGAGAAAGAATTAGTCAATATGTCGTCCTGAGGTTACCTCTTATTTCCAACCTGACAGCTGAACATCTCCAGCGCTCAAAAATCAATTCAGTCACAAAGTAAAAAACAAATGAATCCCCCAAGAGAAGGTACTGATATAAGAAGAATCTTTTCAGCTATTCTTTCCTTCAACCTGCAGAAATGGAAACACAACAAACGACACAAAAGTCTGACGGCGCCACTCACCTCTCTACACAACTACCGCAGGAAGCGTCACCACCCACGCACAAACCAACAGAGCCCACTTTAATCACAAGGTGTTTCTCACAACACACACACCTACAAATAGGCACAACCTCTACAGAAGTATTGAAGCACATCACATACCCACACTAAGCCAGAGCTCGGGTTTATCGCTATGGCGGTGGGTTGAAGAAAGTTTACCTCATTTATGCTTTGTCACAATCTTTGGCAGCAGTGTGTGAAAGCGGTTTTCACAGTTCGTTCTATTGCTTGTTCAGACCTTCAGCTTAATTCTGGTTTCACATTGTATTTTGGGGGTATTACTGCGATATGTTTTGTGTCATTGTATGACGGATTGTGTTCATACCAACTGCAGCCCGTATGAGTTCTCATGAACTAGTGATGGGAATTTCGGCTGCATCCGAAAACCTAGGCAGCTAACTTGTTGCCTCACTGCCTTATCCGGCAATGACTTCGCAGGCAGCGTTTGCGCACGAAGGCAAGTCACGAAACTGATTTCGGACATGCTTCTGAGGCAGCGTAACATTTAATGATCTACAACAAAATAGAACAAGCTTTGGTGATAACTAAGTGAAGATTTAATTACTATAATACTGATTTCTCACTAGAAATAACATCAAAAGTGCAAAAAGTTGGTCAGAAACATACATTTACACACAAACTAACCAACAAACCCAACTTTCAGATGCCATCTTTATTTTTTTTTGCTCAACCATCACGGAATGGAATGCACAGGATTGTGGGATATCAAAGGATATATTTATGCTGCCTTCAAAAGTCAACCAGATGAAGGCATCTCAGGAGGCAGGAAGTGAAGCTAACATTGGATTTGAACGTGCCTTGATGGCATCCTACCTTGAAATGTGTTCTCCGAAGGCAGCATGGAAAATGCTGAACACAATCAGTCATACAATGAGTCATTTCTGTGAGTCGGTTCTTTTAAACAGTTCGTTTCGAGCTAGCGCAAAACCTGATTCAGCAATTAGTGGCTAGAAGGGATACAGCTATGGCCAGAAAATAACAATAAAGTAAATTTGCTACCTATCACATTAACGTCTATACCTACCATCAACGCAAATACAGTAATTATTGTTGTTCAGAGTGACAAAAATTCCGCAATATTGATGTGCGTATGCCCAGTAGGCCTTGGTGGCCGTAGCTGCATCCCTTCTAGCCTCATCCATTTTTAGGTCGTTACACGTACAAGTGTGGCATTCACTTGTAGCTCTACAAATCATAAATGTAGGCCTGTAAATTATTTACATTTTGTGTGTCCAAGTTCATTTTGTTGCAGCTATTAAAGTTTTATCCCAATCAGCCTATTTACCTAAATACTTAAATTACTCAAAATTCTTACTATTATCTCACAGTGAAATGATTCCCCAGTTCAATTAGTTGATGAGTTGAAACCAAGCGATTCAAACCGTTCCTTGAACAATCAACCGATTTATTAGCAAATCAGATTCATTTCAATTCATGAACAAATCGTGGCTGGTTTTGTCAACCGGTTTATTTGTTTATTTGTATTTTACTTAAATTTATGTGCGCTTGTGATCTTTAATTAAAAACATTAACTTCACCTCCATTAGCATACAACAATTCCCGATGGACAAAATCAAGCCCTACATATTTTCTCTCTCATTTGAGAAACCTTCCAAATAGACAGAGTACATCACAATAGGGAAGAGAAGAAGAGCACAATTTCCATTTCATGTTGACTTAAAAATATTGATTAGGCCACAAATCGAACATAACTAACATAAACTTCAGACCTTTTCAAGCGGACCTGATGCAATTAGTCGGAAAGCAGTTTTTACATCAACTAAATTAAACTGGACTCTGGTGTCAAACTGACTTGTCACCAACAGTTTTGTGGAGCTTGTGAGAAAACCTGAGAATATCTGTGCATGCAGGCATTGATGATGAAGCCTACTGTTGGCCTATTCGCTAGCGGCTTCTCTTGCTTCATGAGACAGTTCTCCAGAGTACAAAAGCACTCCCTCTGAGGCTAACTGTTGTAGATATCCTCTGCCTGGAAATAGAACTGCACCCTTTATCACTTTAATATACACAACACATTCATCATGCTTTTCCCTGCAGTCATTTCAACAGAGCTTACTGATGTTTTTCTTCTTAATGCATTCACATAGACATACATCAGAATTGCCAGCAGCATCTGAGGGGCTGTGTAGTCATCTTCAAAGACCTGTCTTTTCCAATCTTATGCTTTGATGAAGATCATGCAATCAGGCATTAATTAGCATTAATTTTCAAGAACTCAGTGATATGGAATTTAAACACGCTCAACATATCTACTACTTTTTGTCCATGCACTGAAAACTAATCAACACTTGAACCTCTGTCAACCTATCAGAATGAATAAATCAACAATGATATGATATACAAATATGGTTCTCAAAGAATACAATATCTGATACCATTACTAAAACATGATGTTTTTGCATCTATTTAGCATTTATTTAAATAACATTTTACAATATTAGATAGCTTCTCACAGTTTAAAATAATTGAATTGTAGCATCCCAGAATGTTATTTGATGTAAAAATCTGGTGAATAAATGTGTGCTATAGATACCAAATCACTAGCCTTTTGAGTTCAACTCTGCTATTTTCAATGCTTCAGTGCTTCATCTTTTATCTTTATTGAAGTGAGTAGGAGTTCCATCTGTGTCCCAATACACACTCATGATATGGTAGTATGAGTTATCCCAACAGGGAAAAGGAGAGAGATAGAGAGGGAGGGAGAACGAAAGAGAGCTGGAGACATGGGTCAGTGATCGATAAATTTCAGAGGAAACGAAGGCCAGTGTGATGAGCAGCTCCATTTTTTTGCTGATGGAAATATGAAGAGACCCTGGCTGGCACTTCACTCTGCAGATCCACAACGTAATACCACTCACTCTGATTGTACTGAAGCCACAGTCGCACTGAATTCACCAGGCAAAAAATGGCACTGCACAGTAAATTGTTTACAACCATAGTCTGTGTGCATTGAATTTATTTAATACACGAGTTTCACAATTTGAGTTGAATTACTGAAATAAATGAACTTTCCCACAACATTCTAATTTATTGAGATGCACCTGTACAAGTATGTCCATTTTTATCCGCAGAGTACTCACATATACAAAAAATATCTGCTTGTATTGATGCAAAATGTAAACTATATTATTGCCCAGCTCTAATCTACTAAATGCAACTGTAATGCATGAAGCTATTAAGATATTAAAAACATTAACATCATATTTTTCTGTAAAGCTGCTTTTATACAATGTGTACTGTGAAAAGCAGTATACAAATAAATTTGACTTTACTTGATACGAGAAACATGAACCCAGCACAGCTACACTGAGAAAAAAAAGTAAATAAAGCAAAGGTTTGGAGTATGTTTTAAAATAAAATATAATTTCACGTTTAATTCAACGTTACTTGCCATTTCTTTGCGATTATTTGTGAAATTTTCAAAAATGGAAACTTTTTTTTTCAATCCAGACCAGACCAAGTATTACAAATGGAGAATTTATGTAGGAGAAGGAGTGGGCAACTTTTTTAATCCAACACATCCACACCAGAAAAGGTTCTCAGTCATCAGCACTGTGTGTGTGTGTGTGTGTGTGTGAGGGGAGAGTAGGAGTTGAATGTTGATGTTTCTCAAACAAAGCGGAGGTCTCCCCATGAGACTCCACCCCCCTCTCTACCTTCAGCAGTGCAGAATGAAAGGTTCCAGGCCCTTTTTCATCAGCAAACTTGTGTGTGTGAAGGCGGTGTTGTCTGACTGTCCTCAAAACACTGACATCGACAGAAAAGGCACAGCATCAAAGCCTCCGAGCACTTACATAGGGGAGCAGAGGAAAGATGTGAATCCATGATGTAACATCCATGGATAGCTTGAGAGCTGAACCATTATTACAGTTGCATCAGATTGTGTAGATTTTGTTCTCTGGTCAACTTTATTATCTTTTTTAAAGGACAGCAGAATGTTTTACGTTAGAACATTCAATAACATTATTTGATTTGACTGCACTGAAACTATTGGATAAGAACAAAACTTGAACTGAACTGAGCTGGATGATGACACTACTGTCTTCTATAGCGCTACCTTATTGCTTAATCATCTTTGTTTCAGATTTTATGAGTTTTGCTACATTGACACTCAGTACGTTTACATGGACAACAATACTCTGATTAAGAATCTACCATGTAAACAGAGATTTTTGATTACCTTAATCCGGCTAAAGTCATAATCGAAGTAAACAGAAATCGAATTAAGACATGTGGAGTATTCCTATTTTAGTCGCATTACTGAATGGCAGTATAGACATGTAAACATCTTA